GCGGCACCTGCGTCGACGGGAAGAACGAATTTGTGTGCAATTGTCCACCGGCCTGGCAGGGAGTGCTTTGCCAATTCGACGTGGATGAGTGCGCCCTGAAGGAATCCCCCTGCAAAAATTCGTTGACCTGTGTGAATCTTGCCGGTGATTACAAGTGAGCGAGCGAGAATTTGTTTCATTATGTTTGATCATGATTTAAAAATTTAACATCGGTCTGATAGATAGATAGATAATTGTGTAAAGGATTTAATTAAAAAATCTCGGTCTCGTTTCAGATGTCGCTGCAGAAGTGGCTTCACGGGGAAGAACTGCACGAAGAACATCAACGATTGCATCGGCCAATGCCAACACGGGGCATTGTGCATCGATCTGGTCGACGATTATCACTGCAGCTGCACCGCCGGCTATTCGGGCAAGGATTGCGACGTGGACATCGACGAGTGCGCCTCGAAACCGTGCCAGAACGGTGGCGAGTGCAGAGACCTGGTGAACGCGTACGAGTGCGTCTGCCCTGTCGGTTTCACCGGATACCAATGCGAGATCGACAAGGATCATTGCAGCCCGAACCCATGCAGAAATTCGGCGCCTTGTTTCAACACGCAGACAGATTACTACTGCCACTGTCCGGAACAATGGCAAGGGAAGAATTGTTCCGAGCCAGCCTCCCATAATCCGCAATTCGGCATGATGGACGAGGAGTCCGGGTGCGGGAGTGAGGGAACACCATGCGGCGGCAGAGGCAGATGCAGCGGTGGCAGATGCATTTGTGACGCCGGGTATACGGGGATGCATTGTCACGAGAACATCAACGATTGCAGGGGTAATCCTTGTTTGAACGGTGGCACGTGTGTCGATTTGGTTAACTCGTTCCAGTGTATCTGTAGAGAGGGATGGACTGGAGATCTGTGCGATCAAGGTGAGCGATTGTTTCGTAGTTCGTGTTCTTGATTTGTTTCGTCGTATTAAATGCGATGAAAAAATTATCACGATCGACGAAAAGAAGAAATGATATCTCTAATAATTCTATAATATCTCTTTTTTATTATTAAATTATTCCTCATCGTTCCTTCAGACGTGGACGAGTGTACGAACTCACCCTGCCGCAACAACGGCACCTGCGTGGACGGTGTCGCAGACTTCACCTGCATCTGCAGAGGTGGATGGAAGGGCAAAACCTGTACTCTTCGCGCGGGACACTGCGAACCAGGTACCTGTCGCCACGGTGGAACTTGCCAAGATCGCGGAGATGGATTCACTTGTCACTGTCCACCAGGTTGGGAGGGAGCAGCATGCCACATAGCATCTCCAGCGTGCGCGAGCAATCCTTGCGAGAACGGAGCTACCTGCGTGAACACCGCCGATGGGAATTACAGATGCGTCTGTCGCGAAGGTTTCGAGGGTCCGAATTGCCGTCGAGACGTGGACGATTGCCAGCCATTGCCTTGCTTGAACGGGGGTAAATGCGTGGACGGGATCAACTGGTTCAGATGCGAGTGCGCGCCAGGCTTCACCGGTCCAGATTGTCGTATAAACGTGAACGAATGCGCCAGCGACCCCTGCANCACTGGATCCACGTGCGTGGACGGTATAGCGAGTTATACTTGCATTTGCCCGCCAGGAAGGACCGGGGCACGCTGCGAGATTCGTACAGCAGGTGGACCAGGATGCCCGGTAGCTAGTTGGGACGACGATTGCAACGTGTGCGAATGTCGTAACGGGAAGAACCAATGCAGCAATATCTGGTGCGGTCCTGGGAACTGTCTGAACGGTACATCGTGTCTGGCTCACGAAGTGTGCGTGCCCAGCCCGAACGAAAGCTGTCTAGCTCCACCGTGTCCAGCATGGGGCGAATGTCGCCCCGTGGAGACTGGAAGAAGAGTAGGACCGCCCGCTCTGCCCGCGCCGCCTTCCTGTTGGCCTGGACAAGCCACGCCGGGCCCAACCTGTTCCAGGCTCACCATCCTGTTAAGAAGAGACACTCTGGCCGCCAGTACATCGGTAGAAATCCTCTGTAGACGGTTGAGAAAACTGCTGTCCGATCCGAGAAGGCCACAGTCGATCGTTCTTCTGTGCGATCTTAAACCTGGTGATAACGATACAGTGGAAGTGACCATATTCTCGGAAGCAGCCGCGGATGCGGCCAGAGATCTAGGCGAAGCCCTTAGCAGACCCCTGGGCAGACCACTCGCTCTGGCCTCCGTGCTCGAGGTCAAAGTGGAGACGGCCTTGCTCAGCGAACCGAGTTCCGTAAACTCGAGCAGCGCGGGGAGCTACGTGGCCGTCCTCGGTGGAGCTCTGGCGACCGTTTTGGTCTTGGCTTTGTTCGGTGGGCTGTGGTATCTTCGAACGGTCAGGCAAAGATCCAGTCTGACCGCGACGACCAGCAGCGAGACATCGTTGCATCGACACCGCAGCGATTTGGACGAAAAGTCGAACAATCTTCAAAACGAGGAGAATCTTAGGAGATACGCGAATCCTTTGAAAGAGCAGGATCAAGGAGAACCAAGAGTGTCCGTGGTGAGACCTCTGTCTGGAACTTCGTTGGGCGCGCTGGGTGCAACAGAAGAGAGTTTGGAAATGGTCTCGGACGAGAGTAGACATCGGTTGCCACCACTTTACAAAGCTCCCAGCGCAGAAGCCAGGAACAATACCGCTAGTTTTACGTACGAGGAAGGGCCTCATAAACCGTACAGCAAACCTAGATTGCAGGAGCCGACGTATTCTCAGCAAGGGAGCAGCGGTCAGACATCGGGACCGCATCAAGTACTGACGGTACACGTGTAACGCGACAGACTCGCGGATGTTTCGTGAAAAATTTCACTCGGAAAAAAACACTTGCGAGAAAGGGACACGAAAACGTGGTGAAACGGAATTATCGGACTCGCTGTACCAAGTGTTTTCGCAACGATTAATTGCAACGAACAGACTGAAGAATTAATAATACACGATTCAACGGATATCGCTTACTTTAGAAAATGAAATTGCGAAAAATGCGCTGCCTTTTTTTATCCGCTAAAAATTAAGAAACCTCGAAACCGCGTTTTACTTCAAATCTTTTTTCCTTCTGCGAATTGATACGAAAACAAGGGAGATATTAAAGAATGTAGGAAGGTAGAGAAAGAGGAGAATTATTTTAACGTTATTTTATTAACGATATTAATATTGATTTATAATCAAAAATCGATCATTTCAACAAAATTGATTCATTAAACGAGAAAACATCGTTCTCTACCTTTCTCTAATATATCTCTCGCTAATAACGCAACGACAATAATTGACGGTCTACAATTATGTATCGACAAGTTGCCGAGTTGTTTTATCGTACTGTACATATGTACATAGCCCGTACTTATTAATTTCGCTAAGCCTGTATCACCTCTAAATGCCGTCGTCCCTTACTACGGACAGCCTTAAGATCTGATCTATCGACGTTTTATTCGCGTTACAATCCTAAACATTCCCCTATGATCCGAAGCTGAGAACACGGGCCAAGTGACGGCGTAGCAGGCCACCGTAGATATTGTAGAGCTATAATAGCACGTAGGCGAATTAATCTGCGCGAAAGCAGGCTTCGGACGCTCCGTCGGGCGATATTATTGTGATACTCATAGAGCGAACGAGAGAGAAAGAATGCGAGAGAGAATATTATCGCGCGATAAGATTTATCGGGTCCCTCGTAGCGCCCTCTTGGAAAAATCGTGAATCACGATTAATAACGATAACGTGTTAAGAAAAATCTTCAATTTGGTTTGCTAACTAAGTTTGCAACGGTTTGCATCCGTTTGCCGTAGTAATCAGTAGAATTACGCACGATTCTATCATTGCGATCCGTGATTTAATTGCACAAAAATTAATTAATTATTCATGGGATGTATCGTCGTATCCACGAGTCGATCTATAATGAAAAGGAAGTATTCTTTTTTATTTTTCCTGCGTAGAGGGTGAAGGGAGCGTGTAGGAATCGATAAGATGCGACACATGGCATAGCCATTCGCGTGATCGAAACGTTGTATGATGTAAATAAACCCATTACATAGATCCAGATAATTCCCCGTCCCACTTTGGATTGTATTTTATCTTATTCCCTCCTTTCTT